ACTATTTATATATACTTATACATATATATTAAAAAGAAATATATATTGAATCTGATCCATAAATAGAGCTTATTTCTAACACTCAATCAGTTTAAATCCAGCCAGCAAAAAAATTAATCATAGTAATATATGTAATCATAGTAAGTAATCATAAAAATAGTAATTTATGTAATTATCTAAGAAACTCATATGATGTGATCTTTAGCAGTATGGGAAACTTATTAGTTTATTATCACTAATATCTATTAATATTTAACTATATTGTCCAAAAAGTTATTAAAGCCCTGTGTAACGTCAAATCCTTCTTAATCTGGCTGCCGTCATGTAGACACCTCCTTGTTGTGGGCTTGGCCCCCTTTTTAAGTCGGCAGTAATCATTTGATCGCACACATAGTAGTGTAAGTTCATATTAATTTCAATATTTTTTAAACTATATGTGTAATCATATCTGAACAGCAGAAATTCAAAGTTTAATACTCAATGAAGACTGTTGCTATATTACTGCTTATTTTATGAAATTAATGTTTTCAACAAATTTTATTCAGTCATGTAGTCATCTCCTCTATAATTAATTCTCTTGGTCGGTATGACTCAGTATCAGCCTTGAATTGAAATATTTGTATTGTGATGTAAGATTAACTCTTCTCTCTAATTCATCTACATTAAGAAAAAAAGAACAGAGTGAGTTTTGTAATTAAAAATAATTTTTCTGTTTCTCCTCTCTCCATAATAAATTTCTTCTTCTTAATCATCATGTAGACACCTCATTATTACTGGCCTGGTAATCCTTATTATTGAATGAAATAACTTTATTTTCTTGTTTCGGTATTTTTAAACTACCACTTTGGATTCACGACTACTTCCTAACTTTAAAATAAATTAAAATTGTAACACATTAATGCATATATATATTCTACTTTCCAACTGTGTGTAGCCACATAATTGGTTTTTAGAATTTAGAAAAGTTAAATAATTCACTGATGCGTTTTTGATTTTAGTTCATACACTTAAATTTTTCTTTTTCAAATTTACCATGTCTATAAATTTTTTAATAATTATAAACCGTTTTTTTTTCTTACAGGTTGTTATATGGGTTGATCCCTTAGATGGGACAGCAGAATACACTCAAGGTAATATCTTTATATGTGATTACATAGTATTAGAATAATGTGTAGATAATTATGTGTGTATAAATTATTGAATTTTGTTTTCATTTAGTTAAGTTTTTAATATAGATTGCATGTCTCTGGGTTGATTGTATTCCAGATTTTTTGTATCATCCCTCCTGGCTTAGAAACTAGGAACAGGGTATGTGATTTTTTTCGCGGATCTCAAGACCATAGATTTGCGAAAGTCAGTGAATCAAAACCTATAATCAAACGAAATTTTCACTGCAATCTAAAGTTTAAAGTTTGAAACCTTCGCTAAATCACGTTTACGAGACGTTTTCATAATGACGACTCTTCCTGAAAAAAAGAGTTTTTTTTTTTCTTCCTCTGTCGGATTTTTGTTGTTTTTAATATTTGAAACAATGCTGCAATCCTTTAATATCGCCATTCATATTCACGCAATTATCATAACAAACATCGATTTTCGTATTTAACTGATTTAAAAGTTATGAATTTTGAATCGTATTCACGTTATTTAAAAATCGTACGTCACAATTCATATTCACGTTTTTTTAAAATGCAAGATCGCGATTCGTATTCACGCGAATTTAAATATCAATGTCGCTATTCATATTCACCGGATCTAAAAATCTTGCATTGCAATTTGTATTTACGCGATTCAAATTCCAATATTGCAATTGGTATTTTCTCGTCCTTAAATCCAATATCGCGATTCATATTCACACAGTTTTAAAATCCAATATTGCGATTTTTATTTTCGCTTTCTTAAAATACAATATCTCAATTTTTTTTCTCACATTATTAAAATCCAATATCTCAATTTTTTTTTCACATTCTTAGAATACAATATCTCAATTTTTATTTTCACATTCTTAAAATACAATATCTCAATTTTTATTTTCACATTCTTAAAATACAATATCGCGATTCTAGTAAGAACTTAGATTTTTCTTAAATTAGTTACTATAAAAGTGTGATATACTTTATTGGTCGGTAGTTTAATTTGTAAATCTCAGTTCAAAAAATTATATTGAATATGAATGGAATTTAAATTGATATCTTGTTATCGAGTTTTTGCATATGAAATTTTCAGGATTTTTCACTTTGTGCCGCAATCACTTCTAATGTCTTCATGTATTTCACAACAGTTCGAATTTTTCAATCTGTTGCAGCAGTTTTATTGAAAACAATGTAAAATAATTTTTTAGTATTTTTTTATCAGGATTATTAGACCATGTGACTGTTTTGATTGGTCTTGCTGTGAAAGGAAAGGCTGTTGGTGGAGTCATTCATCAGCCGTATTACAATTATAAAGTACGTATCAAATGTGACAATCATTTTTTAAAAATCAACTAATTTTTTTGCCACTTTTACAAAAAATTTTATTATTTCTAGAATGAAAAAGATTGGTCAAAATTAGGAAGAACAATGTGGGGTATTGTTGGGGTTGGAGGGGGTGGTATTCTTTACAAAGCTCCCCCCGAGGATAAAAGAATCATCACTACTACTCGATCACATTCCAATCCTGTTATTAATTCAACAATTGAAGCTCTAAAACCAGATGAAGTTTTGAGAGTTGGAGGTGCTGGGCACAAAGTGAGTTTTGATTACTATTTATAAGTAGTCTCAAATTGTTGATGATTTCATTTATTAATATAATATATTTTATGAAAGGAAAAATACTTGTGATTTCTAAATATTCTGTGAATTAAATCATTTATATTTTGTAGTAACGCATTGACCGTATTTATTTATCCACTTTAATAAGGCTTTTTCTTGGTACAGATGAAGAATAGCGCTTCCCTATCAGAGTAATCTAAAGTTAGAATCTGTTGCTACCTGTGCCTGAAGAAGTGTAACGTAAATGTTATTTCAGCGTATTTTTGCAGTTATTTGAAAAAAGAGTATCAATATTGTTTACTTTCCTCTGGTAATTTAATTGTCAGGCTGTTAGTAAAAAGGCCTGAATGTGTACATGAGAGAAATAAATTTTCTACAAATTGCGATTATAGCTAATAAAATAATGCTGTACAAAATAAAATTTTAGCACTAAGTCTACTGATGGTGATTACACTGGTATGTTGAAAATTATTTTATTTAATGTTGATCTATTAATATCCGAACTTAGATGAAATTAATAATTATTAATATTACAGCTTTGCTTTATTTTTAATATTTTTTTACTTCTAATTATTATTTGCATGAAATAAATTTAAATGGTATGTATTATCATTTTATTATTTCTTGAAGTTTTGCAGTTGCAAAATTAGTTAATGAATTCAGCCCATTTTTAAGTCTATTTTTCAATATTTTCAAGCAGCAATAAGAAAGCTCATTGCTGCTTAAATATAGTTTCACATTGCTAAGTGTTTTCTTTCCTTATTGTCATAACACATCACTAAGAAGATTTGTTTTACATCCCACAGTACTATTAACTATTAATGACCAATATATAACCAATTTATCACAAAGTCATTAAGATACAAAAAATATAAATCATATTCGAGTTAACACACATTTATTTGCTAAATAAATTTTCTTACTGATAATTATTTTGTGTATTAATGATTCATGATTTGATGCTATATGTCTGAAAATATCTTTGAAAGAGAAACATAAAGCAAACCAATGACAAAATTGAGCTTACTTTTGTTTCTTTGTAACTATTTTTTTTTTCAAGTTAATAATGTTGCATGAAATAAAAGCATCTTCTGTGGTGATAAAAATGCCTGCCAAAATGATCCCTCCTTTTGTGTGCATCAATTTCTTATTATATATTTTAAAAATAATTGTGAAAGCTATATTTCCAGCAGGAAAATAATTTTAGTTTGATGGATATAGTGTTAAATCGTGTTTCTTTTTACATTCATTTATTTATTTTGTGTTTAAAAAGCTTTCTTTCTCAACACTTAAAGTAACTAATAAATGGGATTGATAGCTGCTAATATAAGGAAGTGCAAATAAGCATTACAAGAAAAAGAGTTATTGCTTTTTTTCCAAGCTATTTAATAGTACAGTTCAATTTCAAGCTCACTTAATATCATAGGAAAATTTCAATATGTATGAGAAAAAATTTAGATAGCAACAGTAATTACTACTATAAGAATATTTTAAACAGGCAGTTAGAGTTGTAGGAAGAAATAAAATTCTAATTTAAGGTTAACAGAGTTTCAAAATGCCATTCAATACTTATGGTAATTTATTTGTGGGATTTGGAACAAAGCAGCCATATGGCGAGATTTTTTTGATAATCTCATTTAAGATTATTCATTCTTCCCTTTTTCTAATTCAAAGTATTAAATTAGATAGATATTTTTTTTAATTTGCAATGACATTTATATTAGTTTATGCTGTACTAAATTGTTAGCTGTATATTTTATTTTAAAACTTACAAATTTCAATAGTTTTAAAACAACTTGATTTTGTCGCTTTATATTCTGGTTCTCTTATTCCACATTGACATCGATATGCAAAAACTTTATCCATAGTCTTTTAAATGTTGCAGAATAATGTTGTCACAAGTATATGTACAAGGTGATTCATGAAATTTCGATTTAAGGTATTAAATATTACTTGCAACAGAATTGTATGGGATTTTTTTAAAGTTTTGCTAGAGACAGTCACAAATGTTCTATTTGTGACCCTTTCTCACACAACACTCATCTAGCCGGTAATCCGTTCCTGCCAAACCTGTGTTAAGGTATCTGAATCAAGTCCATAAATAGAGGCTGTGATACACTGTTTCAACTCCGCTGGAAGAGGAAGGTAAAGAGGTCATGAGTACCTTGTTCTTTACATGCCCTGCAGAAAGAAACCACAAGGTGTTAGATCGGGAGTTCTGGGTGGTCGTTGGGTGAGTAACATGTTGTAGTCCACTGTTCTTCCTATCCAATCGGTGAGGAAGTTATTCATTCAGGTAATTTTGCACATAGGCCGTCCAGTGTGGTGATGCATCATCCAATTGGAGAGCATCCTGCAACTGTGGCACCAACCAAAGAGTTAATATATCCCAAAAGTGGCACACTTGAAAAAAAATGGCAAAACACTTCCTGTCTAGACACTTCATAGAACACATTATTCTTAGGGGTATCTTGCACGAGATGCTCTGTAAATTTAGACACAAAATCTAAAATTAAAATCAAAATATGTTCCTCGCAAAAATAATATTTTATTAGTTTACCTTCCCACTGACATGGAATGTTGGTTCATCGGTGAAAACCAAGCGATGAGTAAAATTGTCATTTTCAACCATGTTTGAGAGGAAATAGATTGCTGGTTTGATGTGTGTTATATGACTAAGGGGTTACACATTGAACATTTGTGACTATCTAACATTTAAAATGATTCTGTACTATTCTGTTGCAAGTAACTTATAATATCTTTAGTTATTCTTGATTTATAATACATTGAAACTATATACTTTTTGAATCGACCTTTATATTATATTGATGATTATATTACAAAGTAAGATTTTAGCCACATATTAAGTTAGTATCTAACGATTAGAGCTGCCTTATCTCTGAAGTCAGGGTTGCTAGTGAGCAATGCAGACCACATTGCCATCATCACGTGATGAGCCATATGTCATTATAATCTCCATGACCAATTGGATTACAACTGTTGCAAGTGTGCTTTATTTATTCATTTATTTTTTACGGTTAGATTTAATAATTACACTATTCTATTTCTTTATCTTATTATTTAAGAGTTATTTTACATACAATTGGGGCCATAACCCTGTGCATAGCAATTTAACTGTTTTAAAATTAATACAATGCTTTGCTTGTTTCGTTTAAACTTATCTAGTTTTTAAACTGATATGATTCATCCAAGATCGGATTTTAATGATAACAAATATACATCTTTTTCATAAGAGACCTATAAAAATGAATATTTATGCCTACTCTTATTTTTCAGGTTTTATTATTGATAGAAGGAGCAGCTCATGCATATGTATTTCCCAGCAAAGGATGCAAAAAATGGGATACTTGTGCACCTGAAGCAATTTTACTCGCTTTTGGAGGAAAATTGACTGATATTTCTGGACGACCAATTCAATACCATGCTGAAGTTGAGCATCTTAATTGGGGTGGAGTTTTGGCTACGCACGCTGAATCACTCCACGGGTGGTATATTTCAAATATACCTGACGATGTGAAGGCATCTCTTCAATCTAAAATATAATAAAAACCATTCCTTATTAAGAGCTTTAAAATAATTTTATCAAAAATTTTAATTTTCAAATAAATTGTGATATAACCATTTATGTAAACACTTATGTGATTTTTGAATCAAATTTATCCCTTCTGTTGATTGTAAAAATAATATTATTAAGATTTCCACAAATATGTCATACAAAAAATTGTTTTTATTTTTTTTATTATTATTATTAATTTGTGTCATAATATTCTAGTTAATCAGCTGTATAAAAAGTAATTTTTCATTTTCTGATTTTGTTTTTAATTTCATAAAACACTTAAATTTATGACACTTACAAATCAAAGATTCTATTAAAATTAGTTTATAGATCAAAATTTGAAATATTGTTGGAATTGATTTTTCTGAATTGATTTTATTTTACTGGTTTGATTTTTTGTATTCTGTTTTAATAGCACTAATAATGTAGTTAATCACTATTTTTGTCTCTTCTTATATTAGTTTAGAATTGTTGTGATTTTTCATGTTATGTTTGAAATGTTTATCCGGAATCCTTTTTGTTTTTTGATCAATTCATAAGAGAAATTCACATCAAACTTTTGTTAATTGTTAAATTTTTCCATTAAAATGTATACACTGCTGCTGGAAGGCTAAGAGTCAAGGGTTCAATTCTGGCAGTCAACTAAATAACTGACATGTATGCTTAGTTAGGGGCAAATTTAGTTTGTTGTGACGTAAGTCCTCTTATTTGTGTGGTAAAGAAGTTTGGAGATATGTATAGCATCTCGAATGTCATCGTTATCTGACTGAGATCAATATTACATGATGTTACTACCATGACAAATATAACAACTTTGAAAAAAAAAAATTCTTTTTTTTTCAATATTTGTGGCAGAAATTTGTATTTTTTGATTGAATTTGTATCAAAATTGGTCCCAAAACATGCGTTTCCTTAATCATTTTAAAACTTTTAACCAAAGACAACATCTACTTAAAACTTATGTTTGAAACTTTGTTTTTACCAAAGACTGTCATTGCTAATTGTATGACATTATTTATTATTATTTTGACAAAGTGAGATTAAAAAGTTTTGCTGATATGACGGACTTTAAATTAAGAAAAAACGATTTCAATATATATTTTATTTAGTAAAAATGATATTTTTATTTGTGGAAACTCATGAGAGTTTTTAATATTTTTTATTTTTTTAACATAAAACTTTTTACAGGGTGCGTAGCAAATTTAAAAAGTGCTTAAAGGTGCTTATTTTCGCTTTTTAAAAAAGCCCTTAAAAGTGCTTTCTTAATTGAGTGCTTTTAAAAAGTGTTTAATTTTCCAAAATTAGATATTTTATCTTTACCTTTGCGATTTTCACCACAAATAATGTGAAATGCGTAGTTTTCACATTGTTCCATTCTGCGCTTTCACAATTAGTTCAACCACATTTCATTTCGACTTACCGTTGGCCCGTAGAGTATAAAAGTGTCTATCATTTTGCACATTTGATAAAATACTTGCAGATCTTTTCGAATTAATTTTTCTCCTTATTAAATAAAGTAGTTATTAGCCACTTGATAAGAAATATATTTAAAATTGTGTATAATTTTTTTTGTGATAAATATAATTAAGGAAAGAGTTCTTTGTTAGAAACTAATAATTTTATCATGATCACATTAATTCTTTGAGAAAAGTGCTTAAAAGGTGCTTATTTTTTGTTTAAAAAATTTGGTTACGCACCCTGTTTTTAAATTAAACAATGTTTTGCTGCATGAAAAAAAAACACATACTTATTTGTTCTTGCAATTTTTTTTATGAACAATTTCAAGATACTATTATCTTTTGTATTGAAATGAAATACATAAATCAATGAAAAAAAATAGTTATTTAAAAGCTATCATGTAGCTTTTATTAAATGTAAACTTTAATTCAAATGAAATTACTCTGTTTCAAATTGAAAACATTGTTAGACGTTAATTTAATTTTGTCACTATTTTTCCAAGCCACAGTCTATTACCCAAATTTATCTTAATTTTTAATTTTCTTTATAGAAATAATTAATAATTTTTCTTTATAGAAATACTAATACAGAATAATTAATTAATAAGTGCAGCATAAGAAAATTACAGGGAAAGAAAAGTTTCACTTGTTTGTGATAGTAATTGCATTCGCACTATTTTTTTATTAATTTTTTCTTTATTACATTTATAGACCTGTGTTTATTCAGTAGAAACGCACTATATTAAATAATGTACTCTACATTATATATTTGTTACAAAAATGTATAAATATTTCGGTGCATTTTTATAATATTTTAAGTATTTTTGCATATTTTTATACTATACTTCTAAGGATCAATTTTTATGGGAAATAAATATTTTTTTTTACTCTCAGAGTTTTTCATTTATTTGTCTGACTTCTTTGCTTTTTTAAAAAAAATTTCTAGTTGTAATTTAACTACTGAGGTAACATATTTAAGAAAAATTATTTTTCAACCAACACAATGACAAAAATTATTTTTCTAAAGGATGAAAAATATCGTATTTAAAACATCTTAAATTATTTTACTTAAATTCAATTATATTGCATGTGTTATGAAATATCACTTGTGATATTAATTTATAATTATAAATTATTTATTTAATCATTTTTAAAAATCCAAATTTCACATTTTTCAAAAAACTTGTTAAATAAATTGTTTTCTTTAAGATAATGAGAAATGTTTTAATATATTTTTATATTGTTTCGAAATCATTATTTCTTTTTTACTCCCTGACAAAACACTACTATTAATCAGAAGCAATTTTATTACTGGCGTTGATCTGCCAACCCAATTTTTGAGTATGCAACTACTAATCTTCAACTCCGTAGCCTTGTAATTTTTAACTCAATCCTGAAGACGAGGAAACTCCTGGATCAAGTATTGGGAAAAATTCGCCTTCATGAGGAACTTTTTGATGGAACTAACTCGCATTTGCGTTATATGGAGAGGAAAACCTCCCAATGTTAGCTTGGCGACAAGGGGACTCTAACCCATGATCTGTCTATGACTGAGGATATTTTACGTCAGCACTGTGATCAGTGCAAGCCGGATGCGGAATTCGCATCAACCAGTCATTGCTGGGTCTCGAACCCGGTTCACCTCATTGGAAAGCAAACGCTCTTTCCCCTGAGCCATCACGGCTTAATCAGAAACAATTTTATTCTATAACCGTCGTTGAATAGCCGACCCAATTTTTATGGGTTTACGACTACTAATGTTCAACTCCGTAGCCATGTAATTTTGAACCCAATCCAAAAGACAAGGGAGCTCCTGGATCAAGTATTGGGAGAAAATTGCCTTCGTGGAGGAATTTTTTGATGGAGCTAACCCGCATTTGCGTTACATGGAGAGGAAGACCACGAGAACCACCCACGATTAGCCTGACGGCAAGCGGACTCTAACCTATGATCCATCTACCACTGAGGATATTTCACGTCAGCACTGTGGTCTGTGCAAGCCGGAAGCAGAATTCGCATCCACCAGCCATCGCCGGGATCGAACCCCGGTTCACCTCATTGGAAAGCAAACGCTCTTTCCCCTGAGCCATCACGGCTTAATCAGAAGCAATTGTACCATTTTAAGGACTGGAATATAAGTTTACTTTTTCATAAATCCTAACAATTTTTATAGTTTTAATAATTCTGGGAAAATTCGCCTTCTTTAAGGGACCAAGTTTGGCAATTTAAGTAATCTTTTAAATAACTCGGGCTACATAGAAGAGATGTCAGTGATTCAATTGTTCCTAGACAAATACTATTTATCTTCTTGAATTGTCAAAGAAACATTCATTCTACCTTTCACCAAATCCAACACAATAAAGTTTTTAACTGATTTTGAAAAATTTTTTAGTTTGCGAGCAATATTGAAAAACTATTAGCATTACTGAAACTTACTTATGTTACAGAATAAATATTTGTTAATCATTTTCGTAGGGTTGTTTCGATTTTTCTGCAGTTTGCTTCAAAAGTTTAGAGGATTCTGTATTTTTTCAACCTCATGTGAAACAGCACACAAGTTACTGTTGCAGAATAGAACTTTGTTAGAGAAGTTGCATAATTGTCTCATGTTTTTTAAGGAAAAAATGTGTAAAATAATTATTTTAACCAAAACATTTTTGTTTTTACGATTATGTTCTTCAGATAATGTGCTGTAAAAATTTTACGCCTTTCCCTAAGTAAAAATAACGTATCAACTGTTATTATACCTTTGTAATATTGATGTTAAAAGACTAAACTTTTTATTTTGAATGTTAACCAAACATTTTATAGTCTATTCAAGAATTATCTAATCATAATATCTGTATTGAAATTATATGTTCTTGATTTAACATAGCGAGAGCTTTTGCTGAACCAGTAGCAAAATTTCATTTACATAGAATCAAAAGAATTTGGCAACCATCTGTGCCTTTTAGACAAGAATAAATTTCATGTTAATATTTAAATTAAGAAGAAATTATACTGATAAAAAGCAGGTGTATTAAGGATTTTTTTCTGATAACTCATATATATTAAATGAGATTTCTTCCTACAATTGTTTTTGTCAAAATAAATTTTTAGTGATTGCATAAGTAAACAATGTTGGAATAAAATTGCCTTTAAAATATCCTCCAAAATAGTGCAGAAAATTTCTTCTGGAGAGAGTGGCAAACATTATATCATTTGTGTTGCATGCTGTTATTAATTATACACTACCCTACAATAATTGAAAAGACACTTTCAGTTTCGCAGTATTAGTACAAAACAATCTGTAGTAAATAACATTCTTGTTATAATAAAAAAGTATGTCTTGAATTTTAAACTGTACACTTAAAGAAAATTTTAAGATCCTTTTTTAAGTATTATGCTATTATATATGAATATTCACATGAGTCAAATTATACTGATAGCCAAATAGATGCGTGTCACTCTATTGGAGTATATCATATGAAAGTTTTTATTGAAGATAAATGACATTTTCCAGCTCCTTTCAGGAATAAATTTCGTTTTTTGCTTGTTCATTGCACGGCTGTCAGCTTATTAGGACTTGAATAAGAAATTTAGAGCTTGTTAACATAAAAGGAGGACAAAATTTACATCTTAATGAGTGTGAATGATATATAAGAGATGATTATATTAAGCTTATGTTTATATCATTTTTTTTAACTCATAGTTCTAGTTGACAATTCTTCAGAGGTATCAACAAAAACATTATTTTTGACGATAAATGTAAAATTTAAGAGGTGTGTCGAAATTTGGGGGCTTGGGTCTCACTGGGCTAATAATGAATAGGCACTTTAGCTCATAGAGAAATCCCGCAGTGGCAGTTTGTAAGGGTAATAAGCTCAAGTATGCTCACCACATACACACAAATATGGTGCTGTTCGTTTGTATAAATATATTACGACGGGCAGCTAGATATGGTGTTAGTGAGAGCATAGCAAAGAGACCTGAGCATTCCTTCTGCATTTGTAGACTTTTTCGTAGAAAAATGGTTCAGATTCATGAGGGTAGGAATATATATATTAACAAAGTTTATTAATTTTTAGGAAGCTCTGCTTGAGAAATTTAATCGTCACACTAATATTCACAACATTTGTCATATTAAAATTATTTGATTTTGTACAGAAATCTTTATTTTCTTAAATAACGTTTGAAACTTTTTTGCTATTTTTCATCAGGTACTGCATCTTATTGAAGGAAAAGCACATGCTTATGTTTCAGCCAGCAAACGGAATAAGAAATGGGATACATGTGCACCAGATGCTGTGTTACACGCTTTTGGAGGTAAAATGACCGACATCTCTGGAAAGCAAATCCAATACCATGCAGATGTTGATCTTGTCAATCCTGGAGTTGTGGCAACACATTTGGCATCCGTTCATAGCTGGTACACACAAAGTATCCCGAAAGAAATTAAGGATCATTTTCAAACAAAAGCATGAAAAACACTATTACCGAATCAAAATGTGATGCTGTAAATGTTGTTGTGAATCGCTTAGAGTTTGCTATCTTTATGAGGAAAAACTTTTTATGTTTTTGATAAATGGAATTACTTTTAGTTCTGTACTCAAGGCTACAATATGACATATGTGAAGTATTTAACGTCAGTTTTAAAATATGGTTCATGGGTTTAATTAATGGTAAATTCTTGAAATTTCCTGAATCACAGGAAGTGAGCTTTCGGCCTATATCTTAACAAGTAGTTTAATTTTATGCTTTGCTAGTGTCATTGTTAAGAGTAGTCGCATGTACCAATACATAGTCACAACTGCAGCGTTGGGTAAATGTAAGCTTAGATTTAATCTTATTTTGCATGTTTTAAAATTTCAGAAACATTCTAAATAAAATGCTATTTTTGTTTTAATTACTGCGATAGCAAGTTTATAAAATCTAATATAATTGACTCAACCCCCGTTTCAAGGGTGTTAAAAATGCAGAAGCATTAGAGTTTTAGTCATGGAATTGAAGAAAAAAATAGGCGATAATTAAGCTTTATTTATGATAATATAATCGTGAATGTAATTGGGACTATAACATCAACTTAAAGTTTCTTCATTTATATTTTTCCTATTATATTACTTGGGAGGATTCCTCAGCTAATACTGTTGCTTTTATGTTCAGTTTTAGAGAAAAACACTGTTCTACACATTGTTAAAACTTAATAAATATTCTCTAAATAACTATTTGCTATGTGGAATACATTTTTATTTTGAAATAAACTCATTCATTAAAAAAAAATTGTCCATCTTCTTATAATGTATGGTCTGCAACAATACAACTTCAAAACAAAAAATTTTTTGTTGAATTACATGAAAAATTCTTTTTTAAAAGCAAACGAGATAAATTAAACAAAATGTTCTTGACATTTTAAAAATAATGAACTATTTAATCAAGTTGTTATAGAGGGAAACATATCAGTTATATGGAAGTAACAGAAATTTCAAACTCAAAATTTGTAAGCTTCTACAATCCTTCTTTGAGATCTGATTTGCTGGTGACAAAGATGTTTTATTTCAATTTTAACGTTAAAAATTTCAGACAAATTAATAATTCATGAACAAAATAAAATTTTATAAATTTGTTTCAAGCCAATGTTGGAAATTTTTTAATAATTTGTATTGTTGGATAGCCACAAAAAATGCCATTTTATGATTTATCACAAAATTACATTTACAAGGTTAATAAAATAAAAATTTAAATGCTTCGGTTAGGATTTGTATTCAACTTTTTTTTTTAAAATTTTATTTCAATTTTTTTAATTTCTGAATTAAAATTGTTAAGTTCATGTTTACTTAAGTTGCAATTAAAGCAATTCTGAGAAAAGCTCAATGTTCTTTTTAACATAGTTCAATAATTACTGTTTCCAAATGTTTATTATAACTGAATATTTCCAGATTTGCACGTAAATAGATACAGAATGTTGCATAAATTTAAAGGTATTTTAAAAAAAGTTATGTTTAGCACATATTAATTTCTGAATAATTTAAAACATATTAACATAGTGTATATTTTTTAAATTAATGCTTGTATAATATAGACAAGAAAAATTTCAAATGTATATTTTTCTCTTTACATTGAAATATTGCAGATTATTTTGTTCGTTCATCTATAAACGTTTTTATAATTGATATACATATATATCAAAGTAATATATATATGCAATATCAAAGTTAAGACACACTTAATAAATTTTTTCTTTTTTGAAAAATTTGCTAAAAGTATTAATAGCTTTTCCACTTCGATTTATAAAAAAAAAGTCTGCTAATTATTTATGCTCTTTAATTAGTTTCAAAAAATTTTTTTTTTAAGAGCAACAACTGCTATTTAAAAGAATTAGGAAATATTAAAGAATATACTAATTCATTATATTAAATATACTAATTCATGAGGCTATACTTGTTATATAGAGCTTTTACTGTATTAAATATGTACAATATACATAGAGCTTTTACTGTATTAAATATGTACAATGTAAGTGATATGATTTTTTTCTTCTAGTTTTTAAAAACGTTAAATATGAATACATTATATCTGTAAGAGATTGAATTTGGTACTAACAAATGGTAACAGTTGCATGCAACTTTCAGAGATAAGGTCTGGCTTACTTTGTAAGGTCCAAGCAAGATAGATTATAAACTCAAAAAATTCTGCATAGAAATATTGATAAACCCAATTTATTTAGATTTACAAGAAATTGTACAATTGTGAATTAAAATGTTTCAGGAACTTAAGAAATATGTTGTACATATAAAACATACAATAAAGAACAGTTACATCGCAGCTTGTTTAGCACAATATATATATATTCTCACGATTTTTTTTCCATTAATATTCAACAGAATTTGTTCAGTAAAATCTGATTTGATATTAAAAAAAAAATCTAAAAATGCAATATTATAAATACAAAAATTACAGACAATGTAACGCTATACAAGTTATCCACAGCAAATAATTTAGGCCATGCAACCAGTAATACTAATGAACACCATGATACGATGATTAACCACTCGCAGAGCCAAGATGCTAAATCAAAGCTGTGGCAACTAATCTACTTCGACATGCTGAAAACGTAACAAATGAACATACTATACAAACAAATCTCTTTATTTTAATAACACATTTCAGAGAGCAGCCTTTTAGGAAAAAGATATAAAAATATTAAAGTTTATATTGTATTAACAAACGTATTTATGGTGTCTTCAGATAAGGCCATTTTTAATCTCATAGTTTAGGATGGAAAGCGTGCTATTATCCTACAAACCATACAATGTCAAAATATGATACACTAAAACACACAGCACCAATGGGTACACTGCTTTTTTCCATTTCTAAAGCAGATACCAGTTATTTAACAGGTAACATCACAAGTTTAACTCCACACATTTAAGTACATAACTTATACCTACAATTCAGCAAAATAACATTTCTTATTATCAGCGATTTGGTGAAGATTTGTTATGCTTATATACATTGTTTAACAGTTGCTTTAGGAAAAAAGGGATTATAAATCAATGGTAAGCTGGGAGAATATTTAATTTCAATTTAAAAAAAGTTTAAAGGACCAATGATTTAAAAAAAAAACATTCCATTTCTACAGCCTCTAGCAATACTATTTAGGTATACTTCTTTTGACATGTAAATTTTAACTAGTTTTATAAATTTGAGTTTAATTAACTTCAGGCAGATTGACATTTGAAAAGAAACTCTGCAAGAGACCAACAGAGAAGTGAAAAGCATTGGTAATTGCTATTAGAACTGCATGAATTGTCTTCTGTTGGTGACAATTATAGGCAGACTCCATTGATCTTTAAAATTGTTTGACAATATGATTTTTTCATATCTTAATTACAACATTTTCTTAATCTTAGAATTTGCTAGTTTCTAATTTTCCATCCACAGCATTTTAATAACATAGATTTAGAGCAGTTTTGCAGATGAAAAGAAAAATCTACAAAGAAATAAAATGGCATTGATCGAACTTAAATCTTATACGTCACAAATTTGGAAATGAAACATATCTTTTAAATATAATACATCAACGTGTCCTTAATGAATAAATCACTTTATAGTACAGTAATAAATTTTCAGAGAATTAGCAACTCTTGTCAAAATAATTTGCAATACCTATCACAGACTGCATAAATATTAACAATAAAAATTATTAATTTTAACAATGAGTTAAATTACACTGCAAACCTGTTATTTTTACAACCACAATTTTAATTGGTTATTTTATAAAAATATTTAACACATTTCATGTTCGCATTTTTGTCACAAATGAAATATACATCTAAATCAAAAATACAGTAATGTCATAAAAAATTGGTAATGTAATAGAAAAAAAAATCAAGTCAAATAAACCTTGATACATGGTCTTTACAATATATCTTCTTTATAAATAACATTAAGCAGAAAACAAAATTTTAAATATAATTACATATTTAGAGAAATTTTATTTATTGAACACAACAGGGAAGTAAACATAACAATACTATAAAATATTTAATTTGCAAGTTAAATAACAAAATTATTTCAGGAACAATCAAATAACCAATACTTTTTCATCTACTTAATTTTACAATTACTACAAGAATTTTTTTTTTTTTCAACATTAATGTCTACACTTCCAGTTTATATTTTCTTTTATGTAACCAATACTAAGAACAATTTATTTACAATTTGTTAAAGTGAAATTGCTTCAGAATTTATAAAGCACACCAAAAATTAAATACTAATTTAAGAAAAGACATTAATTTTAAATACATGCCCCTTTACAACCTATAACAAGAAATGTTCATCAACGTTAATAAAGGAAAAAAATAACAATAAAAGTGGGGTTTTTAAAAACAAGAAAATAGACATCCAGCCAGTCTATTGCAAATTATAGCTAGTTCCAAAAGGGTTTCAGGTACTAGATAAATCGGTGAAATGTTAAATAAATCTAAAGCTATTGATATGAAAAATTAGTATAATAAATCCCCTTTTTTAATCTATGACAAAAATTTTTTAGAATGAAAAACAGCGAGGTATTTTGGAAATACAGTAGGTTTGTTTCATTACACAATATTAAATTAATAAAAAGAATATTAATCAGTACTCACACGTAAAATTTTCAAGGTTTGACTGAGGTAAAAGCTGATGAATATTTTTCTTATTTAAAAGATTTTTTTTTAAATATTTTCTCCTTAGCGATATTGATTATAGGATAAATAAAGCATCACATAATTTCGGGAACAAAGATTACTCCAGAGTAAAATAAAAAAATAGAATCAATTACATAATTTGATAAAATTAATTTATTATAATAAACTGTTTCAGAGTTGAGGTCTGCAACAACCACGACCTACAGGACTTACAAAACAGTTCAAAGTGTAACACAAACAGCAATACACAACATGAGGTAATTTTTTTTTTTGTACATCATAATTTATAATACAAGCAAGACTTGTCTCATGTAGGTTCTGATAACAGTTGCTGAAGTAAACTCTTCTTCTGGTCCGGTTTAGGTTCTTCTACCTGAACCTAAATCAAAACATAATTTTAATAGTATTTTATTTTAGTATATTAAAAATTTTATTCAATGCATGCTCATTAACTTTATTAATCAGCAAAATACAATAAAAAGTTTTTAAACAGGGAAAATTTTAACAAGAATTGATAAACCACATTGTTTAATTCCAGGTCAAGTTCATGTTAATTGGTTCTTCCTAAAATTTTATACTATATGGTCAATTTGACTTTTCTAATTAGTTATATTTCAAAATTTTTAGTAAAACTACTTTATCAGAAAATTATTAATAATAATCAATATTAGACAAGCTTCTACAGACCACAGGATAAAAGCATAATTTTATGTTCCAGTGCTACATAATATCTCCTTTTAATATTATCTGATAATTTTGCTACTGCAAGAAACCTCTGAATTAATCTGCAGAGCACCCAGTAAGATATTTGTACTTAAATGTTACCCTTGGTAGGTTCATAACTTTTAAGATACTAGAACACCAAATACAATAGATGATTACAGAAAGTACTTCGAAAGAAAAGTAACAAAACAGTTTTCTTCCTCATAAACAATTAAAACCATTTTTTTTTCAATTAGAGCAATTATTTTTAGCTTTCAAAATAAATCAACATTAATAAATGCGAATATAAACCTAAGAGTGCCTAGTACTGCACTACACTGATTCTGCTACAGTGCATCTGATGTTCTTGTTTTTCTGTTGCATTTGGCATTCATAAAGTTAGCTTTAAAAATATATATATATTATTCTAAAAAGTTAACTCACTCTAGGACTAATAGGCTGCGAAGCTGTCTCAAGACTACTTGCATCATTTAACAAAGCTTGAAAAGCTAGTTGAGGTGATGGCTGTGTTTCAGCTATAACAAAGAAAGAACAAAATGAATGATTTAGACACATTTTTGCAGTTTAAAAGTTTATTATGAGATAGTAATAAGCCACTGATCTTTTGAGCCTTTTAACTTTTATATTTTTGTGGATTATCACTGCCTTGCAATTAAACCTTTATATATTTTAAATAGAAAGATACTGTTAAACAATTTAATACCAAGCTAAAAGAAAATTAGTTTTGGTGTTTAAGAAAAAAAATTCTTTGTCTTTTGCAGTTGTAACTTTCTTAACAAAGGAATTCAAGTTAAAACTTGGAGGTATCAACAAAATTCCAGACCACAATTTTTCAAAACAGTAACAAAGCAATTTTTCATTTGAAAATCTTTTCTATTTTACATAATAAAAATATACTTCCAGTCTTTTCAATATGAATGACCTTACAAGAACTCAATAATAAAATTTGCAGCTTATGCTAAATCCAAAAGGAGAAAAAAAATGGCACAATTATTTTTGATAGCTTTGAATCAGATTTAGTGTGGTTTTTAGAACTGAATGAAAAAAATATCTAGTGACGTGTTGGTTAAAGGAAGAATTCAAAATTGGCGGTGTCAAGTCTTCATGAAGAGCCTTAATCAAATACTGTTAACATAAAATGCTCAATGGTGAAGAGTCATAAAATTTAGAGAAAAAATTCAGAACAAGAATGAAATCTTTAAAACTTCTGTTAGTGTTCAAATTTTGACTAATTCATGATTAGGCTTCTTTTAATTTTTAAAAACTCTACACACAATTAGATTTTTTAATTAGCTAAAAAATTGTCCTCCCCCCCCCAAAAAAAAGCCCTGCTGCAATAAATCAATTTTTTAGAATGCATACCAGGTAGTAGTTCCACTGACAATCCAAGTTCTTCTAAGGCTTCTCTAGAAAGAGAATTCACATTGACTACACGAGTTCCAGAGAGAGAATTATTAGAGGTTAGAGATTGAAGAAGTTGTTGATTCTAGAAACAAGAAATTGTTAGGAAACATTTTATCTACATAATAAAGTAAAATGATACTGATATAAAATAAAACAAATTCAAGCAATTAGAATAGTTTTTTTCCTCATAATTCTCAGGTTTCCAGCTCAATTTTAGAAAGAAAAATAATTCCCCGACTTTTTCAGGTACATTTAAATGAAAATCCATACAATATTTTATCTATACCAAACTATTTTTCAACAGAAAACTTCAAATTTTTTTTATTATTTTTCATTTATAATATCAAATATTAGATTTTGTGAGCAAAAACATATAATAGAATGAGACAGGAAACATGGGAAAGTTTCACTTGAAGGTGACATTTTATAAAGTAATTGTAATAGATGTTAGAATTATTTAAATCTTATCTCAATAACTGATTACTATTATTGACAATTCTAAGACTGGTTATTTTACCGGTCTGATATAGGAATTTTCCAGTTTTTTTTTTTTTTTTTAAATTGCATATTTCCTGCTTTTTAAAGTTAAAATAAAAATCCCTGACCCGTGGGAGCTCTGATTCCAGTATTCATTGGTTTGGTAACATTTACATGCTGTGGTGCAACAGAATCCAATTAAATTTGACTGTAGGCTGTTCCAAGAACTTAAATTACAAATTGGCCTTATGCCGGAGTTTCTGCTACAGTAGCAAGATATTTTCGGCTTTTGTTAAAGCATTTAACTAGACACAAAGAGCTATACAAATATTAACTTATAATCATTTTAATTTTAGTGTCGTACAAAGTTACCATTGTAAAAGTTCACTATTTAAACAATCTTCTAAAAATTGTTTTTAAAAGGACATTATTAAAACTAATTTTCATATTTAATACTCACTAGATTTGAAGATAGTTGATTTTGAGAAGTACTTATAATTCGTAACTGAGTTTGAAGGTTGTCAGATGTGTTTTGTTCAACAGCAGACGAACGTAAGCTGCAATGAACAGAATATATTAAAACAATGGTTAATTATAACAAAGCTTATATGCAAATCAAAAGACATTTGATCAAATGACGGATTTTTGTATGAATGATTATTTATATGATGTAAATGCAACATTTTGCATGTTTTTTCATCAATATGGATGAATTTTAATTGTTAAGTTTGGTCGAAATATTCATGACCAATCATAGTGTAATAATACAAAATTTGAATTCCATATGCAGTGAAACCACTCAAAAGCTACCACTCATCACCTCATTGTAACATGGTCATTTTTAGAGGATACCTCCATTGACTTTAAAATTGTTAACAAAGGTACATGATTTTTTGCAAACGCTTTTAATTTTAGTCAGTGTCATTTTCTTGGTGCAGAAATGCCACTTCTGTTAGCATCATGAAAAGATGCATTGAAGTTTGCATTCAATTTTATATCATAAAAATTAGTTAGCTTTAAAAGATAAGAAAGAGGTTTGTTTTTTCAAATCGAACTTTTTTTCTAGTTTAACTTTTAACAACTCTAGATCATTGATAGCATTGCCTGCAATGAATTCTGACTGCAACATGAGGTTGTAATCATCGAAAAAAACTCTCTAAATAAGATCGTTACACAAATATTTTGAATACACTGTTATCTACTAATTAGTTTTGTTAAATTTTTTCATGTTTCCTTATTTAACCTTTTGTGCATTTGGTGCAGATGCTTTCCCAGTCGCTGGGAAAAAATTCTGCGCTTCCCAAAAGTGGTATTTCCTGGAGGATCACTGTATTTAGGATAAGAGAGAAGTTTGGTGATATGAAATAAACTTTCAAAATATACTTCGGGTTCAAGCCGGTAGGGAGACAAATTTGTCATCTTGAAATATGATCAGAATTTACAAAATAGTAACGACAAATAGTTTTTCGCATTAAATTTCATTCATAAAAAAAAAACAAGGAAAAAAAAAAAAAAAAAAAAAAAAAAAAAAAAATTTTTTTTTTTTTTNGTTCGTACAGTATGGAATGAAAAAAAACAAGATACAAATTTTATTGTTCTATGAGTGGTATGGAATTCAAATGACATTTAATTTTTGAAAACATTAAAAAAAATTTTAGTTTATAAAAACAAAAGTATTTAATATGATTTATCAATTAAGTTATTTAATAAAATAAATAAATAAATAACGGAATCCAACAAAACATGCGAAAAAGAATATTTAGCATGTTTTCAAATAACGATTACTATGCACTACACTTCTTCCCCTGTCCACGTTCTCAGTTGTTAGGTTAAAACGAGTACAGTTGGTAGGTTCAAACGAGTAAGTAAAAAAATAAAGCAGCTCTTTACAACAAAAAAGCAATTTATTTCGAGCCTAGTGCCAAGCGAATGCAGATGAAACGAGAAGAAAATTTAAAAAACTTCAGAACCTAACGATGGTTTACTTTTGCTCCACTCCACTGAATATCCTTGGACGAGATGGTGGGGAAATCTTGCATTTCTTTCTTTTGGCGTTTGATACTCTTTTGCTCACTCTACATCTCGCAGAGAGGAGGGGAAAGAATCATTCTTAATTTGATAGCAAAGAAAATTCTTTTAGTGATAAAAATAAAATATAGCACTATTTACCTACTCAACAGAAAATAAGTATTGTCGATACTTAAAAATTATTTTATAAGAATGGGAAAAAATATTTGGTTCTGGGGCATTCCGTTTATTCTTCCGTCCTTGAGTCACTTTTGTTTCAGTCTTACTTTTGTCCACAGACATTTTAGAAAAACAGAAATCTGTCATCATGTGGACATAAGATTTGCACCCATGTGTGAATCCGATTTATATTGACAATTTAATTTTAAAAAAATTTATAATTTATTAATGAGATTCTATTGTATAAATAAGAGAACGTAAGATTTAAAAACTTATAATGAAATCAATAAATTTCAGAATGGAAATCTAAAACTATATTTCTACCAGTTTTTAATTTATTCCAATATGATTTGGAGCATGTGGGCGTGTTTCAATTTACACAAGGGCACATATTTTAAAAAAAATAATAAATTTAAAAAAAATTAACTTACTTATCATTAGGACTGGTAGTAAAAACTTGAATGCTCTGCCTTTCAAAAGTGAACTGTTGTCCACCAGGTGCTAAACTATAAGTGACACCAGGAGATGATAGGGAAACAAAAGCAGAAGTTATTGCAGCATTCGCTGCTTGATTATAGCTTGGAGAGGGTAATGATTGAGGAGAGAGAACAGAATCATTAGCAGAAAAATTTGTCTGATTTTGAGTACCGGATGGAATACGACCTGAAAAATCAATTAAAGAGTACACACTTAAGTTCAAAATTATCAATAGTAGGAAGACATCAAATAAGTAATGAAAAGATATAGTTTTCAATATGCAATGATTTGACCATACAATATTTTTTAAAGAAAAAATAAATAATTAATTAAGGTAAGGTTCATTCTTTCTATTACATCTAATTTTTGACATTAAAATGGTATCAAAACTAATGTGCTGAAGGGTTTCGCAAATTAAGAAGAAATTTTTTTTTTTTTGTTTTTGCTTTTTCTTTGTGACACAATTTTCTATCTTTGACCATCAGGCACACTAATAATTCCTGACATTTTTGCATTCTGAAATCACATGTGAAACACTGCCAAAAAGCATTTATATGTCAATTTAAAATAAAAGCTTGCAAACTTCAATATTTATTTATACCTTTTTTTGAAGCAAGCTAACATTATAAACTATGACAATGTAAAATCTTATCTCAAAATCTACATCAGAGCTTAAGAATAGTCAATTTATACATTGAAGTATTTCTAATAATTCAGTAACTAATCTGTTGTTCCTAGAACAGAATTTCCACTTAATTAAAAAAATCAAGGACTTATAAAGATCTAAATGGAAATTTTCCAAGGATCTACTCAGTAATATAGTTAGTATGTTAAAATACATGTCAACCAGATTTTATTACATTGAAGTAGAAATTTTATATTTTTAAAGCACACTGCTTAGTTAACATAGAAAAAGCATATATATTAAGTTTATTTAATTTTCATTGTTCAATAATAGAAGCATTTTTTAATGTATGTATACGTTTAATACATTACACAAGCATTGTGACAAATAATTTAAAGAATTTATTATGTAATTGCAAGTTTAATAAAATACATAAGATTCTTCTTTTAAATTTTTTAAATCAAATTTTAGTTTTCAGAAATTGTACATAATTAGATAAAATTTCAAAATGTATCCATTTAGTATATTTGTTTCAATTTTAATAACATATCTTTTTATTATCTCAGACTATCAGTAATGTATTTTGAACAAAATTAAATCTTTTGTAGTACAATTTACACATAACAAACTAAGATTTACCAAACTTAATTTCTTTAAAATAGATCATAAATCGCAAAGTATGATTATCTAAATTTTGTGAATATGAATTGCAATATGTTACATGTAAATCAAAACAATATGAAAAGTGAAGTAAGCCTTGAAAATCGTGTAATGTGAATTGAGTTTCGTAATGTAGGACTTGCAAATTAAAATTCAACATATGTTTCGTTAATCAGGAAAACATCAATAGCAAATGATTCAGAATATCATTGAAAACACAAAAAGTATCAAGATGTAAATCACGATGAGTGCGATAATTCTTAAAACACTTGAATGCTGTCATTTTGAATGAGTCAGAAATCGTTTAAACCCTTTCGCGCCGAATGTTTTTTTTTTTTTTTTTTTTTTTTACAACAGAACAATTTTGGTAGCACAAGCAATGAGTAGGGTGCGCTAGAATGCTAAAACTAAGATGTTATATTTTTAGGAAGATTTTAACACTGATTTAGGACCGGGACATACATGTCCCATCAGTCCTGACAACTGTACATACGTGTCCCAGTAGTCATCAATGAGTAATTTTGTAAAGAAAACCAATGATCACATAGGACTGTTAGGATTCTATGTTCCACTATCCAAGACGAGAAGGACACATATGTCCCGATAATAAAAATGGAAGTAAAACGTTCCCACTTATCAGTTTATTAGAGGTAATCCGCTTCGTAACTTCTCAGGCCTTAGATTCATAGATAAATCAAAATTTAATCGAAAATATGCTGTATTTTCCAAAAAGAAACTATTTACGTTCGTACAGTATGGAATGAGCTGCTACAACAATAAAAAAATGCAGGAATTGCATTATGTACAGTAGTGCCATCTATGTTCTGGGAATGAAAATACCTTAAAAAATATTGGCACAGAGAAGCGTTTCTATCCCAAAAGATTTTTTTGAAATTTGCTTGGGATGTATGTGTCCCGTTAGGCGCGAAAGGGTTAATGCTATTGAGATTTCCTAATATATATTGCTCACCAATGTATATTTGGAAATCCCAATAAGGGATTTCTAAATCACTTGAATGTGATTGTCTGCAGGTTAATTGTATTCCCGTGAATCACAATGTTTGATTTATAATTTACGAAATCAAAATTTCTATCATTTAGCTTGAAGTCCCATTTAACAGATTATTTTGAAAATTACTCAGAGAAAAATCAAAAATTTTTCAAAGAACCTATCACAAAATTTAATGATTTTTCGGAGACCCGATTTTTTTTCAAACAAAATTCAAAGGATTTCAAGGTTTGTACACGTAAAGAATTTTGCTATAGAGAACAATAAAAAATATATAAATTGTTTCAACTCATTTTGATCATACACCAATTTTTATAATAATTTGCATATGGTTTAAATAAAAGTTTCTCTCAGGATCATTTATCATTCAAGTATATCAATTATATTACCTCTCTGAACTCTTTGTTGTTGTGAAGCTTGAGATTGAAGAACCATAACAGGTGACACAGGATTATAGTTTACATCAGCCTGCTGTTGTGTTAGAACAATATTTCTTGCATTCTGATTATTTGTAGAAGCTTGAAGGGTACGAATTATTTGTTTCTGTTGAGCTGTGAGTTTAGCACCAATGGAGGCTTGCTGAAAGTAAATATAGACACTCATTTATTAATTGTTGTTAAAGAGTTTTTTGATAAATGAAATGTTATACATTCAAATTACACAAAATGTTACATAAATTGCTAAAAATATATGTTAGACTTTCACCTGATCCATTGTTGTTATAGTACTTTCAAAAATCAAGAAAAATTAGCCGAAGTCTATAAATGTTTTAAAAGATAAAATATTTTATTTACTAATATTTCTTTAATAAATTTTCATCATTTATTTGTTTTCAATTGTAAACTTTATTTTTATTTTGATATGAGAACAATGAAGGAAAGGTTAAACTCTTGGTACCCAGGCACCTCAAGCTAAATGAGGGGGAAAAAATGTTTCTGTAATTCATATTAACTATATTTGTAAAAAATTAATTATGTCCGGAGAAAAAAACAGCAGAGACAAATATATGCAGGGTTTACGGCAGTATGGCAACAATAATTTATAAAATAGTAACAAAATATATTTTTCATTGAATTCCATGCTTTTCAAAAACTTCGTCGCACTAATTGTATTGCTCTATGCATAGTATGGAATTCAAATGGTATAAGTGAAAGAGTCTGAATTGTGTAATTGTAAAATCTGATTTTCCCCCCTCAAGTTTGTCAACCACATCAAGGTTTTGAACTACTGAACTATTACCTAGGTCAGGGGCGGCGAACCTTTATGCACCAGCGTGCCATTTTTCTAAAAAAAAATTTTATGAGGCCATAGTGGTGCCGTCAAATAATTTTGACTTCATGATTATTGAGAAAATAATTATACTAAATACTATCAACTGAAAAATCTTTATTTACTATGAAAAATAATACATTTTGCAATGACTCAGTTATCTGCGTAATTCAACTTAAAGTAACATCAGTGTTGTTGCAGATTAGATGACAAATAACTTATTAATCTTAGTTCAAGCATTGCTGTTAATTTCTTGCTAGTTATTTATCGTTAGCTTGCTTTTTAGGCTTATTGTTTAATTGTTAATTATTTGGTTAAAAATTGTTTATTTTTTTGCTTGTTTATTGTGAATTTTAATTTAATTGTTAATATGCTTCATAGTGAACTTTGTGATGGGTGGCGTGCTCAAAATACTGTGTCGCGTACCACTGGTTTGCCATCCCTGACCTAGGTGATCCTATTGAACCACTAAATTTTCATTGCTAGTATAAACCCTAAATATATGGTTTGCATTATGGTATGTATATATTACCTGAGATAACTGAGCATTTAACATAGGATTCTGTAGCTGCAAATTTTGCAGAGGACTTGTAGTTCTCTGATTCCATTGAGAGGTACCTGCACCTGTCGTCTGAGGAGACAATACCATTAGTGATGAAGCAGTAGATGAAATAGGAGATGGAGAATGACTAGTGACTCCTTGATGGTATGATGGAGGAGGTGGATGAGATGTAGACTGATAAGCAGAATGTGGGGGTGTTTGACTTGGGAATGGTTGCTGAGAGAGAGAAAAAGGTGAGGGTTGGTTGACTCTTTGTCCAGGTGAAAGTTGAGCAGGTGTGGGTGAGGTCTGATTGGTAGGACTAGGTAAAGAGTTTGCAGAAATGAGATTGAAACGAGCTGATCCAGGTACGTCAGGAATTCCAGAAGAACGCTGTAAAATATCAAATAATTTCTTTAACTGTCTTAAAATTACAGATTATTAAACAGAAAAGAATTCTCAAAGGAAAATTTTGACAGTATGCAACTAAAAAAAATAAAATAAAACTATGACTGTATTTTCGAATATTTGTAACTATTCTATACATGAGCAGTGGATCTTGTCCAAAGTTTTAGCATGGTTTTCACTTTTAAAGATTTTTTAAACTTCTGTAAGCTTTTTTAATATTTCTATTTTAATATTCATCCATGTTTAAACAGGTTTTTTTTGTATTCAACATACAATCAAATGAAAAACCTCACATGTAAAAGAAAGCAAAAATAAAACCACAACGAAGGAAAGGTGAGATTTCAAAGCTTTCGTAATTTCTTGTTTCCATCAAACCAATTTTCTTTTTAAAGAATTGTTTAAGGACAAGTAAAAGCTATTGTAAATTAGCAGGAAACAAAAATTAATTGCTCTTAGCTTAGTAATTGAAGAAAAGAAAGACTTAATTTTAAACAGATCACAAAAATTTTCGAGAAGCGTAATTTTTATTAATTAACAGTAAGAAATGAAATCTTCATTACGGAATCGTAATAATAAGGGACAAAATGTTATACAGTAATCTCTCCTTAATGTGATCGATATCGCTTATTGTTTTTGAAATCGGGGGTTTCTGAATGTATTTTCTTTAATCCTTTGTGTAATAAAATTATCCTTTTCTGTTACCATTTAATGTTATCAGTGTTTTTGAAAAAAAGTTGATTGATGCAAAAAATTTTCTAAGAAAAGTTATCTAGAAACTGAAAAAAACATAACATTTTCTCAATTCAAGTCATCGTTGGAGGAAACTGATTAATTCACTCCTTTCATTAACAAAATCAGAATTTTTATTCAATATGGTGGTCTGAGTTAAATATAAGATCAACAGATCACTGTTAATTTTGAGCTTGGTAATCGACCAGTGAAATCCCACGATTCTCTTGAAAATCACACAGCGAACAATCTTTTCTTAAAAGATGATAAATATACCAAATTTTTTTTATAGTTACAATCGAGAAAAAAGGAAAACAAAGCACCTAAACAAATTAGTTTGATAGACATGCAAAGGACCCTCAAAAAATATCCACACATGTTTAACATACCAATAAAGTCACATTTGGTGCAACAGTATTGTTCAGAAGATCATTTATATTCTCAGTCGTGAAAGAGCTTCCGGGTGAATTAACAGTATCTAGAGATTGTTGAGTTTGCACGGCCAACTGTTGCTTCTGTTGTTCTAATAGACGCTTTTGATGTTGCTGCAGAAGTGCTCTTTGCTTTGCAGTTTTATGTAACTATTAAAAATAATTTACAATCAAAATAGTGCATTTTTAATAAAAAACTATCAGTAGAAATATAAAACATGATTATAGTGTAAAGATCAATTAATAACATGCTGAACAAAATGATCTAATTTTAGATACCAGATTATTAAAAACTAACTATAAAAATTAAACAAATGATTACCCTGAGTAAAGTAACATCAGCATTTGCAAGATTGATATTCCTTGTGACAGGTATATTAGCCCTACGTTGAGCTTGTGCTAACACATTTTGAGTAACCACATTAGTCTGTACTGTAGTGGTCGGCAGCCTTACTCTGTTTGTTACTAAATTATAATTTGGAGGCAATGAGTTATTTACTAATAGGTTTTGTTGTTGTTGCTGCTGCTGTTGTTGCTGAAGTAAAATAAGTTGTTCTGGGGTGATTTGAGCTTGAACAACATGTGTTCCGGATACTTGCGTCAAAGAACGTCCAGCTTGAGAGTATGTTGATATCACAGCTGCATTTTGGTTAGCTTTATTGGCAATAGCAGCAGCAGTACCTTCCAATTCTTTCTGAATGGCACTAATTGCTATTTTTTCATCTATCTCTTGAGCACTGGGGACAGTTGACATTGGAGTAATACTATTAGCTTGTGATATATCTAGGGTATCTCCAAGGAGTTTCAATATTGCTTGAGGATCATCACTACCACGGGGGATTTCTAAATTGTGTTCTTCACGCAAACTATAAATCTGAAAACAAAATAAAAAGGCTTATAACAGCAAATAAAACAAATATATTTTACAACTTTAATTAATCAACAGACAAACAATACATAAAAAGAGTTACATTTTGCATAAATTAAGGGATTATATAGGTTTTGAAAAACGGAAAAATATAATTATTTTAAACCATTCAGGTTTCTTTGGAAATCTCTTCAATGGAAAGCATTTGCTATCTTGCCTACTTACTGTTTATGCAACAAATAATTTTATTCAAAAGCATGCAAATATTGCATTTGAATAATAATTTATTAAATTTTCAAAAATGTAACCTAAGAGAACTGATTTTTAGGATCCCTTAAAATAATTTTTTACACAGTTAATTTCTGAAAAAGTAATGCTAAGCATAAGAGATACATAATTTCAAAAAATGTCTGAAAAATATTGAAATTAGAAATTAACTAAAATGAATTTTTTGAGAAACAATACAGAAAACAAAAATAAAACTTTGGTTTTGAGTTAAAAAAAAGTTTCAAGGTTTCTAAATTTTGATATTTGCATTTTCTAACCATTATTTTAAAATTAGAACTAAATAATAGAATTTTAAAATAAACCAAAATCATTTGTACATAATAAAAATGTATAAGAAGACGAAAGATGCACCCTTTCTTAAGTGGAATTGAAATACTTCAAAGTGATAGAGACATTTAAGTCCTAGATTTTTTTAGCTTTGCTTTTGCATAGCAGATAGTTAATTATTACCCAAGTAGTCATTTATTTCATTTAGAGAAACTGTTACTGTCTGGTGAGTTGTTTTATTTCTTTTTAACCAAAATTTATTTTCAAGCCTGTGTTAATAAAAATGCTTGATACCACTTAATACTCAATTCTGAAAAATGGGACAGTTTTATAATTTGCTGTATCATGGATGTTTACCCAATTGGCATGAAAGTTAAGCAGTTGATGAAATATATTATTTTAAAATTACGGTACATCATATGATGGATGTAGACAATAAAGCTTTATAATTTTTTGAATTATACATTTTAATTCCTTTCACACTTTTCAAGTGATTTAAGTGCATCCCAGGAGAGAACTATTTCTGCACCTCAACAGCAATTTTTCAGAAATTTGTTCACACACAATAAGTTCGTCCGTGAGATGATCGGTAAATAATGCAACACAATTATCACATTCAATATTCTTGGTTTCAACTTCACCCAGATAAAATTTCAAACACATAACAATAATTTTAAAACAAATTTATGTGAGAGTAAATAAAAACATAGAACTTTAAAGAGAGAATGGCTTACTTGGTCAAGAAGAGCATCAAACCCAGGATCAGAAATTTGATTTGATTGTACACCATCAGTCCCAACAGTACCTATGTCAACAAGGTTGGCCTCATTTAAAATTTCAGCAAATGTACTAGAGGCAATTGTCTCAGAAACTGTCGGAGAAGTGAACGATGTTGAACTCTGTTGAATTGGATTCGACATATTTGAAAGACTAACAGCTAATGATCTTGGAATCATGATACTATCACCATTAGTACCAGAACTTAAAATTTTGTCCAGTATACCCTGATGTTGCTGCTGCTGCTGTTGTTGCTGCTGTTGTTGTTGTTGAAGTTGTTGCAACTGAAGATAAGTGGCCTGCCTTAGTCCCGATTGAATAGCAAATTGAGTAGGCTGCTGCAAGACATGTCCTCCAGAAGTAACTACATCTCTCTGAACGGATGACGGGGAAGTCATAGTTACAGAAGTATAAGACAGTGAAGAAGTAGGAGTGCTGCTATTAGAAGTTGTAACAGGAGTATGCACAAGCTTTTTCTCAAGATTTTTAGGCAACCTTTCTTGCGGCAGTTGAGTCATAATGGAATTAACAACACTTGTAGGAACAGAAGGAGGGGTTCGAGGAGTTTGTGCCAACATGGATGCCAACATAGGGTTCTGCCCAGCTAGATGAGTCTAAAATATATTTTAGTTTTCAGATTGACAAATCTAGGTTATTTCTAACAAAGTAGCAAACTTTCCCAAGCTGCCAACAACAAAGGGAGAGAAATTCAGCACATTTTGTAAAACAGGGAATTATAGGTTTTTTTTACAATTAATAAAATACAAAAACTATGTCTGGCTATTTACTATAAATTGACTTTAATATTTTTCAATTATGATTGACATTAAATAGGCTTCGATATAAAATATTTTAAAAATTATAACACTGAATAAACAAAATTTTATTTAGAAATTTAATTTAAATAATCTTACAATTATAATATCTATATATATATATTTCTCTTACACGGTGACAAAAAAAATCCTCACTACAACTCCCCGAATGGCAACGCTAGAAAATAAACCAATGATTGCCGCTAAAAATGTCACATGCCAAATCTAGATGAGGTGGCTCAACATATAGCGCTTGTAAAAACGGAAACTGAAATAACCAGAGAGAGCATTCTCACCAAATGTGACCTCTTCCGAAATTCACCCTATCAGCTGCGGCAATCTCATACTATTAAGCTAGGCAGAAGTGAGTAGTCTTTGTCGATAGAATTCTATTTTAGTATTTTGTTGAAAGCGCTTTTTTCACGAATTTATTTGACGATTTTTAATTTATATCACGAATTTATGTTTTATTATTGTTATTAGTTATTCATTGAAAAATGAGTCTCAGTCGTGCTGTTACACTTCAAGATTTTATACTATAGCACATATCTAATAGGTTTAACGAATTACATGTCATTTATTTGAATTCAAATTTATTTTAATGACTTAGTATTCACGAAAAAGATGTAATTTTTTTTAAAAAAAAGTTGTTATATGGATTTGAATGATTGTTTTGAATTCTTAGAATTGTGTGCATTTGCAATGTACCTAAGTTATTAGCAAGCGAAGCAAACCATATAAGATTGCGTAGCAATTTTCTGGGGTTGGCGAGCATTACCGAGCAGGGGGTGCAGCCCACTAGTAACTTGAAATAGTCTAGTTTAAAAATAGAGTCACAACAAAAAATAAAAGAGAACTTTTTCAAACTGATAAATATCAATGAGTCTTACTTAACTATATGTCATCAATACTTATTTAAACAATCAAGCTAGGAACAAACTGATAATAAAATCAATTTTGTTAGGAATTATTACAAATAAGAATTAGTACCAATTGTTCTTAAGTACAAATAATTATATAAAGTCTATACTTACACCAGTAGTATTTGGCTTTTTATTTGATGTATTGGGTGAGTTTCTATCAGAAGATTTACGTTTTACAGCTGTTTCAGTTATAAAAGTTATTTCCGGAGTTCCACGGTTAGATTCCGAGGTTAATTGTTTTGGCACTGAATTTTCCACAGAACGGGCAATCTGTATACTGTCAGATTTCAATTTCTCATTCTAGAAATAAAATGAAATGCATTCACATACAATCTTGAAAAGATTTTAAGACAAGAAAGGTTATAACAAAAATTTTAAAATGTTGCATTATAACAATAAAAAGTAAAATTTTATAAACACGAAGATAAACTGAGAAATTCTTCAAACCAAAAAATTTTTTGCCATTAAAATCTGGTATGCACAAAAAAGCTCAACATTTTTGATCTCTATAAACAAAACTATAAGATAAACTAGCGTCAATTAAAGGAAGAAAAAAATATATATATATATATATAAGTTAAAATTACAGTTGCCTTTCAGACATTATAAATTTAATGAAAAGCAGTGATTTTTACAAAAATATTTATTAAAAGTTTACATTGAAATGTTTGTCAGCAACTTAAATATACGAAGGTAAGCCAACTATAAGGTAAAACAATAACTTGCTTTATATCATCAAAAAACTGCAAAATTTAAAGAACTATATACTAATGTATAGTATAAGGTTTTATAAAAAAAGTAAAGAAATTTGAAATAAAATTGATTTTTGAACAATGTTTCAAAATTATGTGGCGATGAAAGGATTGAAATTAGTTACAGAAGTCAATAAATTACTTGTCGAAAGTTTAGCATTATGTCTAACCATCTTTTTCAACCGAATTTAATTATTTATACTCAGTAATTTCTTTAGTCTGTTGAACTAGTGTCAATATCCTAGGCAAACTTAAATAAAATGAAAAACTTTCTACATGCATTGATTGGCTCTAGTAACTAGTTTCAACCCTTTCATTGCCACCTCTTTTGTACAAAATTTATTTGAAAATCACAGATTTTTTAAAAATGTTAAATTTTATAGAACTCTTTATGGATTCATACCAGAGGGGTGAGTTTGGTAAAGAACCAAAAAATTTGAAAATACAAATCCAAAAATGTCATGTGCAAAATCACTTTTTAAATCATTGGAAAGAGTACCTGAATTATGAGCAAGAAAAAAAGTTTAGATAGGATACATATATCCATAGAATGTCATCAAAGTTTTAATAAAAATATCAATACAAGATTTATTTATATTGTGTGAATATGAATCTTAGTATATGATTCTTAAATCGTGTTAATACGAATATCGAGGTTTGATTTTAAAATGGCATGAAAATTAATTTGTATTCTTATTTTATTTTTAGTAATAGTAAACATTTTCCAAGAACAGCGTTTGTGTATGTTATATGGGTGTGTCATATTTGCAAACCTGCTAACCTCAGAAATTCAAAAGCGTCTGTGACTGTGGCATAGTGCAATAAGCAAATGAATAAATTCTTATTTTTAAATTATTCTATTAACAAAAAAATACTTTTTTTGGTTTATCATAATTCTAATAAAAATGGTTCTAAATAGCATTAATGTATAAAAGTATTAACATATAAAAGTATCAAAAATACTCGAACAAAAATGCTGATTTTTGGGACTGTATTCAAACTGTACAGGGGCATGCCGATCCATATACTTATTAGGAAGGAAAAAAAACTTGAGAAAATACTTAGGTAGGCTGAGGTTGAACATAAAAGCATGAGAATGATCAGATCAGTACTTGAACTAGAAATTTGTTGAGACAGTAATACTAGACTTCAGGAACTTGTGAGAGGAAAAATTTGCAAGAACAAAAAATATAACAGAAATATTTTCATGTTTAGTTATAAGTTTACATATTCAATTAAGAAAAGCAAAAAAAACTTATATAAGAACTTTAAACCATAGCTCATCAATGACGACCTTTTTGTTTCCAGCTGATTAATCTGGACAGAACCCTGATCCTGTTTGATAATTTATCAACAATAATTTATGAATTACCATATTAATTAATTATATTTTTGAGTTTTAAGAATGAGTTTTTAAAGAAATCTCAAACTTGATATTTTGATGCTAAATCAGGGTTGCCACAGAAAAAAATAGTTGCTTTCAGTAGTCTAAAACATGAAAATAGTAGCCAAAAACTAAGAAAATAGTTGCCTGAATAAGAACAAAAATTCATCAAAAATATGACAAAAATTTTGTTAATGACTTAATTCTCATATACCATGATCCATTCAGTCAAGTTGGTGGCAAATATGATAATTTTTATATAAGCGTAAATGTTTATATATATGAAAAGTGATTACTCAAATTCAAAATTCACGCATCATAAAATTGTATTAAAAATTGCTTTTGTTTTTTCAAAATTCATGCAGAATTTCGTAGCAATAATCATTGAAAAGGCAATTGGGGAATGAAATAGACTTACAATGGAGTCTGTGCAGATTGAACAAATTAAAAAGTGAAGACTCAAATTTGCAATTCAAAATTTTCAAAATTTTTTATTTTTTAAGAAAAAAAAATTTCAGTGTGTTCAGAAACTATCTTGTGGGGTGCAGATTTCCCTGTTCAATTTATACTTAGAAGAAAAGAAAAAAAAAAAAAAACATCGCTAGGATTTTAGAAAAGTCTCCCAATAGTCTCCTTTTCCTGAAAATCGTTGCTTTTTTAGCCTTTTCAGGCAAAAAAAGTTGCCATAGTCGCCTTATGCCAAAAATAGTTGCATTTTAGTCGCCTGTGGCAACCCTGCTAAATCTTTTCAGATCAGAGAGTTTTTCCCCACTTACATGTAAAGAAACGCTGCTGCTAGGATGAGAAACAAGCAGTTGTTGTATAATATCTGTTTTCCGATAGCCTTTGTCAGAATCGTCATTGTTCAGAAGCTATAATAAATAAACAAAATTAAAAATAATACAATTAATACATATTGTTTAACAGTTATGCACAAAGTCATAGCAGTTTTTTTAAGGTACTTTATTTTGAACAATACATAATATAGCTGTAGATTAACTGTCTCAAAACAGTTATGAAAATAAATATACAGACTTGGAGTTTACAGGGGTGATTGTGAGCCCAACTCAAAAATCCCAAAAATTTCTTGAGTAAAATCATTCATGACGCATTTCAAAAAATTAATGTCAGGGGTCTGTCTAGGTTTTTCTGAAAAGTAGCTATTTTGTGAAAATTTAGACGTAATTTGTGAAAATTAAAAATTGTATTAAAAAATCAACACAAAAATATGGATTTTTCATTTCTTATGGGATACAAAAAATAAAATTTTAAGATAAAGTATTTTGTGAAACTACCGTTTTTCCTAAATTTGAATTTGTGAAAGTACCACTAAACGGTAGTAAATTTGGCTTGGACAGATCCCTGAATGTCTTTATAAATTTAAATCATTGATATTTTCACAACATGAAATTCTAGATAAATTAAATGCAGCATCATTTAAATAAATAATCATGCAAAAGTTTACTTTTATCTCCAATAACATTTATTCTAGTAAAAATATTTGCAAATGAAATAGATGCCAAGTATAAATTCTAGTTCTAATATTTTTAAATAAAATATAAAAGAATTTATATACATGTGTTCCATGATTTCTTGAAATTTCCGGATCGCGGTTAGCAAAATATCCGGGGGTTTTCCAGAGCACAATCATCTCTGAGCTTATAATGTATAGCAACAGTAAACAAAGTAACCGGCAAACTACAAGGTTTGAAAACGTTCACATTTCTTTTAAAAAGTGACAGGGCGCATTTATTGAAAAGAGCACTTTTCGTCAAATGTAGTTGTAGTTCATTTACATTGCACTAGAGCTGCACAATGGGCTATTGGCGATGGTCTAGGAAACATCCCTGAGGATGATCCAAAGACATGCCATCACAATTTTTATCCCCTGCAGAGGGGATGCCCCCTGCTTCGGTAGTCCGACGACCTGCACGCGAAGTCGAGCACTTTACGGTAGAATAGTTTAACGAGAACCAATACCGCACACTGACTGCAGCTAGTGATGCTTGACTTCAGTGATCTGCTGGGAACCGTGTCTTAACAATCGATCCACTATGGGACCTTTTCGTCAAATGAAATCAAACCTCCACTGAATTGTTTGTCATAAAATAACCATTTATTTATTTATATATAAATTGGTTAAAGTTTAAAAAAAAAAAAAAATTTTAATTTTTATTTTATGGGAAAGGGAAACAAATTTAAGAGCCAGTCAAAAAAAAAAAATCAGTCATAACATGAAATTTTGGCAACTAGCATTTTTTCAAACCCTAAAACAAGCCATTTAAGAAAATTAATATTTTCATCGTTTGGTAAGTACTCAGATGTAATAATATAGTTCCACAGTACCCTACCCCATCACACTCTTACTAACTTCAGATGAAATATACTGCATATTCATTTTTATAATTCTTTATAAAAAATTTACTCAGTTAAAAAAAAAAAACTTTATATATTTATACAATTTATTGATTTGTAATATATTTTTGAATATGTTTATTGATAAAAAAACTGGAATAACAAAAAAACAATTATAAGCAAAATTATTTACAAAAAAATTTGACCTTCACAAGGAAAAAAAATAGACACAATGGAAAGGAAAACTCAAAAGTTAAGATAATTAACATAAGATTATTAACAATATCAGTTTATTAGCAAGGTAATATTTATTCGTAATTTTCCCAAAACCAACTTTTTAAATTCTGGTGCTAGCACATAGCAAAATAAATAAATAATCAATCTCTAAGCAACTAAAAAATAATAACAATAATCTTGAGTTTTTTTATACAACAATAACTTTTTTCTTAATATAGAAATTTATTATTGCAGTAATTTATTGTATTAAAATGATTTTAATTATAGAAAGGATGTACTGCAATGTTATTTTTTTCCAGGAAATTCAGAATCATTTTGAAATGACAGAGAAAATTGTTTATTACATTTTTTTTAAAAAAATGCATTAATAAGTAGATAATTTTTGATTTTCAAACTTTTATTTTCTTCTTCAAGGTTGTGCTTTCTAATAATTTAACACATAAGAACAATAAAATAGATTTCAAATGTTAATGTAACTATTATGAAAACAAACTAGACTAATTGACATTAACATACTATTGTATTTTATTGGGAAACTAATTCGAGAATTTTTTTTTTTTTTTTTTAAGTATTAGACTATAAGAGGGAAATATTAACTTTTGGATTTAATTTTAAACATGCACTTAATAATCTGTTTCTTATTTAAATGAATCTATATCTATAAAAGGTATAAATTAAAAAATAACTAATACATAATATATAAAAATTATTTTAGTTAGCAAATTTGTCAAAAAAAAAAAAAAAAAAAAAAAAAAAAAAAAAAAAAGACATCCATTTATATTAAATTAAAATAGATAGTATAAAAAAGTAACACAATACCTTTCGCAACATATTATTGCCCAATTGCCTTTGCTGAGCACTTTTTTCAGCTGCTTTACAAGCTCCGACATTCAGCATTGGATTAGGCACAGAACTTTCCATTGTCTTTTTGATAGGTTCAATAGGTACATCATCACCATTATCATCATCTTGACTAAGCAAGTCTCTTAAAATCACATTGTCGGAGGGAGGAATAATATTTTGATTGAAGTTCATGCGCGAATTACTTTCCAATACACGTGACCCGAGGAGAGCTACAACTTCCTCTTGAGTAACCGCTCTCAAATTGTGACGCAGTGCACTATCATCTGTATTCTGAGTCAACAAATTTCTTAGTTTCTGATTTGAAAGCTGCTGCTGCTTGTCTTGTCGAAAGCTTTGACCCAAATTACTCAGAGACGGTTCCACTGAATTAAGGTTCAATGAATCTGATTTCGCAGACAAGGCACGTGGGGGCGGACTTCTACCATTAGTAGTAGATTGAGATGTAGATGGACTATAACAACTCCCACCATATGGCGTAGGCGCACGACTTTGCATGGCAGGAGATGAAACAGAAGATCCTCCACGACTGGAAGTTATTCCAGATGCAAAGGCACTACTTGTCGGGGATGCGACTGCATTAACCTCTGACCGATTGGACAAAGGGGCTGCTTGAGGACTGGCAGCATAGCTTGCTACACTAGTACAGTCTGATTCTTTTGATTGGGCAGATCCAGGATCAAGTGTCCAGTTTGATGAAGGAAAAATGTCTAACACAAGATCACTTAATCCATACTCTGTATTATTATTAGAAGCACTAAGAGGATTTGAATAATTAGAGATTCCCATAGGTGAAAGCACAACACTACCATTTACACTGGTAGAAGAATCCGATATGCATTCAGGACCACTTGAAGTGCTAGCCGTTGAAGGAGAGGAAATACTTCTAAGACCATCATGTTGATTTGAGCTTTCACTTTCCCTGAAAATACAAATCACCATATATAATGAACAATTACACAAATAAAGTGACAGATGCAACAGGCATTTAAAAAGAACTTAGTAGAGTGTACAATTTTTAAAGAAAAACTAATTACTTTATGTTTATTCAAAAACTTAATTACAACTTAAACTTAACAATTCATATTTAAGCAGGGTTGGGTTTTTGACGTCAAAAAGTGGTTTTTGACATGACAAGGGTATAATACTGGTTTAAACCGTCAAAAATGTCAAAAACTGAAGTTTGCCAAGAAAATATATAAACACTTCAAAACTACCAACAGTTGCCATGCATTATATTAAAATTTAATTATACTATAGGTAATCAGCAGGTTTTAAAATATTTTTTAATTAAAATTAAGGTAAAATAACAGATTTAAAATCTCAGAAATTTATATTCAAATACATGTGCAGAAAAATTTTGCACAAAAATTGTTTAAATATTTA